GTGTGTGTGTGTGTGTGTGTGTGTGTGTGTGTGTGTGTGTGTGTGTGTGTGTGTGTGTGAATTTAACATCATTGGGAACATAAATTAAAGAGGAATTTAAACACACCACCTCCACGTGACCAGTCAGCCACCACAGTCCTGCTGAGACTTGCCTGATGCTATCTAACATCCCTTTCTGGGCTATTTCACCAATTACAAATAGCTGTTTCCTGGTTCAGCTCCGTTTACTTCATTTGCACCTTTTAGTTCATTTTTCTCCCTTCTTTCTGTTCCTCAACCACCTCCCTTCATAGACATTGGGATCCTACCCCCCACCCCACGCCAGGTATCCACCTCATTGCTCCAAGCAGAGAGGCCAGTGGTAACAGAGACCCAAGATAGCGCTCAGCTCGTAGAACAGGGCAGGATATTTGCCCATCCCCAGCTGATTATGTAATGGCCATACATATTCATAGGCCGGGAATGTGCCAAGATGTGTGCTCATTAAACAAGAGACCCCTGCGGGACTACACAGGACAAAACAGAGCTGTTAGGCCTTCTTGTCCTAAGGGGAGGGGGAATAAGGGGTTGGGTTTTTATTTTTCCCTTTTGCAGCGTTCTCCCCACCCGTCCCCCACTCCAGGGGAAGCAGATGTGGCTGCTCAGTGGGATATTTACTTACACTCCCAAAGAAATGGTCTTAGAGGCAGAAGAACAGATGCTCACCTGCCTACCTCACTGTGTGGTTGCTTAAGCCTCATGAAAAGAGACGTGGTTACTCTCCACCTTGCCACAAGGGGCGCCAGAGTGTTAGATTCCTACAGATCACGGAAGTCAAGATGAAACAGCGTGTTCTAAATGAGATCTCTTTAAAGTCTCTAGGGAACTGGGAAATATAATAAAGAGATGATGCCCCACTCCCTGCTTGGCAGAACTTTCATTAGTAGACAGGCTAGGAGAGAATTGTTTTTTACATTGTTGGCGGAGAAGTCCTAACTTATCGGATACTTTGACATTTTTGAGAGACAAAGTGTGTGAGGTGATATATTTTATTGGACGAATTTCTGTTGGTGAAAGAGACAAACTTTTTAGTTTACTCAGAGCTCTACTTCAGGTCTGGGAAAGGTAACCAGAGTGCCACAGCTAAATACAAGGTGGAACAGATGGTTAAACATAAGGAGTTAGCACACATTGAAAGAGACCATTCAGGGTGAAGTGGGTAGTTAACACCTCTGCTGTCATAGGTGAGATGGTGGTTTTGTCTTTTATCATTTTTCTCTGTGAGTTCATTTGAGAGCACAGGGTTTGTCTGGTTTCACCCACATAGTTGTCATTGGGGGCATTTAGTGCACTGGATGAGGTACCCCACATGTTGTGATAGGCAGGTGTGGGAGCCATGGATCTCGAAAGTTGTGTTGTGGGGGGTGTTGATCGTTGTAGCAGTGGAGATACATCTGCAGGTTTTGCATCTGTTGTTTTGACAGGGTATGGTGCTGCTTTGAGAAAAAAAAATATTTCCAGAAAGCGGGAGGGTTGGGAAAGATTTCTTTTGGGATGTGGTCCATGTCGAGTATGATATTTTTAGATCTGTGGTTTCTTTTCAGGGAGGATTGCATTGCAAACTTGCCATGCATGGTTTTCTTTGTCAAGTGTGGTCCGATGACAGTAGAGACCGAATATAAACCAGATGCCAATAAAGGGTGTAAACACAGAAGCCTTTTGCAACAAAGACAAGAGTGCAGTCATGGGGGCCAAGATTTTCAAAAGGGACTAGTGATTTTGTGCACCTCGGTTTTTGCATGTCCAACTCCATGTCATGTCACATTGGGCAGCCAAAAGTGGAAGCAGCTTCTGAAAATCTTGCCCGTGCAATATTAGTTTGGCCGCTTATGCATATGCCTTATGATACAGTCTTGACTTATATGATCACATACTATTTTCCCCACAGGACCCCTGCCTCACTCGGTGCACAAGATGCACCTGCTCTGAGGACGAATCGGGGTTGTGTAGTAACTAAGCCTGTTGTCTTAAGGACCATGGCTTCATTTGTTGCAGAAGTTGGAAGTTGTGTAGCACATAAAGCAGGGGATTTCGGGAAGAGAAAGGATAAGCTCGTGACTTAGGCAGCTGAATGCTTCCCTGGATAAATGGATTTTACCTCTGCCACAGCATTTCTATTTGATGCTGGGCAAGTCACTTGAACCAAAAGGTTTACAGTTGGACACTGATGGTGTGTTCCTCATTTTCTGGGCACCCAACTTGAGACGTATGGAGCCCAGGTTTGTAGTAGTGCTAAGCATTCAGAAGTGCAACTGACGTCAATTGGATCTGAGCTTTGAACATATGAAATGCTATCAAGAGGCTCCATACTCTGAAAAATTAGACCTTACATGTCTCAAGTTGGGCACTCAAAATCAGTGGACACTTTCAGCAATTTTGACTTTAATTGCTCAGTTTCCCTCAGTAAAATGGGGATAAGAATGCTGCTTAATTGGGGGGGGGTGTCTAAATTCAATAATGATGGTGAAGCACTCAGACACTATGGTGAGACCATCCTAGAAATACCCAGAAGGAAACTAACCATTTTGTATTCAGTGCAGGGTTTGGATGGGGTGTGGTAAATAAGGCCTGGGACCACACGTTGAAAAGGAAGGATATGAAGAGAGGCTGAGGGAACTGGGATTGTTTAGTCTGCAGAAGAGAAGAATGAGGGGGGATTTGATAGCTGTTTTCAACTACCTGTACCTATCTATCTCATAGAACTGGAAGGGACCCTGAAGGGTCATCAAGTCCAGCCCCCTGCCTTCACTAGCAGGACCAAGTACTGATTTTTGCCCCAGAACCCTAAGTGGTCCCCTCAAGGATTGAATTCACAACCCTGGGTTTAGCAGCTACACAGCTATTTTAAGCCCTGTCATGTGAGCCCCAGATTGTAAACATGAGCTCTGAGATTCACGGCTGCAGGTTGGTTGGTTGGGGGTTCCAAAGAGGATGGATCTAGGTTGTTCTCAGTGGTATCTGAGAACAGAACAAGGAGTAATGGTCTCAAGTTGCAGTGGGGGAGGTTTAGGTTGGATATTAGGAAAAACTTTTTCACTAGGAGGGTGGTGAAGCACTGGAATGGGTTCCCTAGGGAGGTGGTGGAATCTCCTTCCTTAGAGGTTTTTAAGGTCAGGCTTGACAAAGCCCTGGCTGGGTGATTTAGTTGGGAATTGGTCCTGTTTTGATCAGGGGGTTGGACTAGATACCTCCTGAGGTCCCTTCCAACCCTGCTAGTCTATGATTCTATGATAATAAGAAATATTGAACTACCCAGTCACTGAATGAGGCAGTAGTCCTTCTGAAATAATACTAGGTGATGAAAGACCGTATCACCGTGCAGATATGCAAAGGGGCTGAATTAAGGTTGTACATGTTGCCTTCTGGCGTTTCCCAACTTTCGAGTGCTTGAATTTGCAACATGATCATGTAGCTTTTTTGGGTGTGTGTGTGTGTGTGTGTAATATAATTAGAATTAATATACTTTGCATACAGATTGCACTTTCCATCTGTAGCTCTCCAAGTGCTTTACAGAAATGGGCAACTCAACACGATTGCCTATGATTTTACAGAGGAGGAAATTGAAGCACAGAGAGGTGAAGCGCTCTGCCCAAGGCAAAACACCCAGTCAAACAGCTCAGGGTGGGAACCTCTCAGTGCCTCAAGTAAACAAAACCATCTGATGAGAAAAAAGCCGCCTTCCCCCTCCAGAGCATAATGTTCTAATGAAAAGCTCATTCAAAGCCTTGCTGCAATTAAGCCTTTCACTTCAGTACCACGGAGAGCGCAGCAGTCAATGGTCTGGAGAATGCCTTGTTCTCCTAGCAGATGAATATTTTAGGATGGGATTTTCCAAGGAGCCTGAGGGAGTTAAGCACCCAAATCTTAGGCTCCTCTGAAATCACACATTCCGGCATTCTGAATCCCATGGTGATGCATTTGAAACTGCCAGTAATGAATACCGTATGCTGACTTGGTTATTGTGATGTCTACTCTGTGCATATAGTGAGTGAATTTGCACCCAGGAAGCGGGAAGTGGATCCCGATTAGGGTGACCAGACGGCAAGTGTGAAAAATCGGAATGGGGGTGGGGGGTAATAGGCACCTATATAAGAAAAAGCC